TTGTGCCATGCGGTGGTTAATTGCTGCATTTGTCCAGGGTTCCTTATTGTTTCCTGTCAGCATATATTATTTATAATTATGTCACTTTGTCAATGGAGAACCTGCGGGGGAACCACGGTTACACGGGCGTAGAAATGAACGAGGCAGAGACGCTGAGTTCAGGTGTTTTGGTGGAGACATTTCCGATCGATTCGCCTTAACTTCAGTTCTGTGTAAAACACAGCTACGTATTGGCTTGGGGGGTATTTTTATATTTTACTGCTCGACTTTTTTTGTTTTTGTTTTATGAATGAGGCAGGTGGGGCAGCAGAGCGTCATCAGATGCTACACCATGTGGGGGGGGAGAGACACTGGATTGACATTTGTCCACGCGTGGGTGGAGACGGGAGCTCATGTGACAGTTTGGGGGCAGCAATGTGGTGGTGGGCATGACTGGAGGGGGGAGTGGTGACATGAAGACCGTAAAGGGAGAGTCCACATGCGAGTGTCATGTTAAGGGCCTGGAACTAAGAGAGGCTTCAAAGGGAGGAGTGGGGGAGGACAGAAAAAAAAAAAAACACAGATGTGTGTTGTTGTTTTCACAGCTGAAGTTATCGACTATTTTTTAAATTAGATTAATCGACCGATTGTTATACCCAAATTCAATGAAACGATTATTTTAGTAGGCCGAAAACATGCCTGTCTAAAAATGAAAACAACCACAAAATGTCATCAAATGAAAGGAAATATATAATAATGTTATTATAGCAATACCAAGAAAAAATTCCTAGAAATTCCTTGCATTTTCCGAGCTCAGTTCCATGTTATTTGCAGTCGATCCAGACATTATGTGAATTAAAATAAATCATCCAACGGCAGCAGCAACAATGTTTAGCAGCTGCAGCTTAATTAATAAAACTGCTACCATTACTTTATGGATTAATGGTACATTCTAACTCATTTTATCTCACTTTTTTCTCAATACTATTTAACCAGGTTGGACTGAACCCCAAAAGCAGAAGCAAATGCTGGTTAGCTGTTTATCAGTCTCTCTGTGGAGGAATTTCTATCTTATCGTTCCCAGTTCAAAAGTCACCGCTGACTCCTCCTACGTGTTTCCGCTCAAAGTTTAACAGCAATCACCCACTCCCAGAAACACGTCAACACATGTCTGAAGGGATCGTACCGACAACAGCAGTGTCACCGCCGTGACGTCTTGTGGATATGACTTCTTTTCTTGTGAATAATTCAGGACTGTGAAAAGACACTGGGACTTTTAGTCTACAGTTACACGCAGGCCGCAGGATACATACACAACCAGCTAGCACTGTAGCCCTGCGACCACGATCCTAGTGGTAGTTATTAGTGCGATTGACTTAGATTTAGTCGAGCTATGATTACAACTGTGATTAGGATCACCACGCCGCGATGAACGCTGATATTATTTGGTGATTCATCTGTAATGGGACACATTCCAAATTACAAAATATTAAAGCGTTGGATTTTAATGAGCTTTCTTCCATTAGTCAAATGGGTAATTTCCAAGTGTACGGAATGGAAAACTGCATCTACCTAATGGCTTGTTGTGACTAGTGTGACAAATGAGATTACTTATTTGACACAAGTTTAGGAATTTGTTTTTTTTTTTTTTTACATTTTATTGTGGTCTCAGATCATCACAGAGAGCTTTGCTGAGGCGAATGTTAAAAATACAGCACGGTGTGATTAAACCAAGTGGTATCTAGCAGCAAAAATATTTTTCATACCCAGCAGGGAAAACTATCAAACCTCGCTTTGCCATTTCCCTTTCATCATTAAGGAAAAAAAGTCAAACGGATCTCCAGAGTGCCTTTAACCGTTTGCTTTATGTTGCCGTGGTTGAGGAGCCGATTGTTGGCAGCAGTACATTTTCATTAGCAACAGACTTGATTTTTTATCGCACTCCAGGGCAGGGAGAAAAAAAAAAAAAAACGAGATGAATGTGGCTGTTCTTCAAAAGAGATGCAACACTCACTGTAATGAACACAACATGAAGTGAATGTTATGAAGGAAAAAAACAGGGCCAATAGCTGAAATAACTCATTTTAGAGATGTGTCCATACATATTAACTAACCCCCCTCTTACTCCTCCCCCCTCCTCCCTTTAAGCCGGGACCTTTTCCTTTGCCGGGGCCAGTTAAAGCGATCAGTCTCGTTAATGCCCTTTCCTAAATGAGCTTTGATCAGGTTAGCCCGACACAAAGCCTCTTTACTGCCAACGATAGGACAAATCTGCAGCTCCACGCAACTCAGGAGGAAGCAGCACTGTACTCCCACTGTGTCTGTGTGGACCACAGAACAGTAGCATCAACATCAACAACAACAACAACAAGAGAGAGGGTGGGTGAGAAATAAAATTAAAATAAAAGAGAACGAGAGAAGGGGCAGCATGTGGAAAAAAAATGAGAGAGGACAGATGTAGAGGTAGGTATAAAAAGTGAAAGATGTTAAAATGATGGACTAAGAAAACATGTGGATAATAAAATGAGGTGATGGGAGGGGGGGAGAGAGGGAGAGAGAGAGTGCCGGGTGGAGAGGTTGGAGCTGTTGGCCTCACTGGCACTCTAAAATTCTGTGAACCAGGAGTCAATTAGCAATCTGGAAATATGCCTGGGGGAGTCAGGAGGAGGGGTGAGGGGACGGAGGGGGGGAGAAATCAGAGGACAGCTAGAGGGGAGCAGTGGGGAAAGGGTTAGGGTGTGAGGGGGGGGCCTGGATATTGTATGTATGAGGGCAGAGTGGGGGAGGAGGAGAGCAGGAGCAACAAAAGGGCAGAAGAGGCTGCACTCTCATTTATTATTACACTGCTGATTTACAGTCAGCGTGGAAGGTCAGCGCTCTCTGCGCTCTGGCTCTCAATAAGAATGCTATGGTAATTGTTGAGCACATTAAGCTACGGGATCATCCGCAGAACTCATCCGCACCACCCTGAGCCGGCACGTGGCCAGAGTGAGCAACCGCCACTTAACCACCGGGGGCCGAGCCGCTGGCGTTAGCCCTCAATGTCATTTTCTGTTTTGTTTTTTTTTTATTTACCTTTTACATGAAGTGTTTTTTTGATTCAGAGAGTCGACTCCTGCTTATCTCTAACACCAGCGCCTGATCATGCCACCCTGCCATCCATCACTTTCCTCTCATCCATTATCGTGGTCCCTGATGGATGCGAGGTAATGGCTCTGATTTCCATTCTGTCCTCTCTCTCTCTCTCCGCTCGCTCCCATCCTTTATTTTCTCACCACGAGTCTATCAATCCACGCCACACGGACCCCGGTTGTGTTCCTCTCCTGCAAATCCACCTAAACATTTTCTCACTTTGAACCTGCTCCAGGGCCGACCCGTTTCTCCACGTATGCATTTACAGATTACTTTCCTCTTCAACTTTTATCTACCCATCCATCACCAACATCCATCT